GACCGCGACAGGGGGGGAGGGGCGGGGGGTAGCTTCTGCAGGGCGGAAGACAGGGGGGGAGTGGGGGCTCCAGCAGTGGGAGTTCCGAGGAGGGGGGGGGCTAAGCCCCCCCCTCTCCCCCGGTTTCGAAAGGGGGGTGGCTTCCGGAGCGCGAACGAGGGTGAGGGAGGGGGTATCTTCCGAGGTGCAGAAAAGAAGGGGAGAGGGGGGGTGCTTCGGGCAGGGGAGGTCCAGCGGGGGGGGGGAACTGAGAGCCCCCCCCCTCCTCCTGGGAGGGGTCCAGGGGCGCGCTCGTCTCGAAGCTGTCGTTGCCAGGGGCGGGGTTTGGCATCGCGTGCCAGCCGCCTTGTGTGCTGTATCATGTTTCAGTTACAGCCAGCTTGCCAGCCGCAGTCGTAATCAATGTTTGTCTCTCTCTCTCCTCCCCGCCCTTCTCCTCCTCAACTTTTAACGTTGCCGAGGCGCCGTGTGATAGGCAGGCGCACAGCTGTGTTGTTGTTGTTGTTGTTGTTGTTGTTGTTGTTGTTGTTGTTGTTGTTGTTGTTGTTGTTGTTGTTGTTGTTGAACATGATTACTTCTAAAGAATAATTATTGTTGGGACCCCTGGTGCGCGACCCCCCCGCCGCGCCTAGGCCGCAGCCTCATTTTCATCATTTTCGTGAGGAAGTCTCAGGCAAAACGGGTTGGTCCGGATCCGGTTGTGTTGTTACGATCGGTTTTCCCTTGCAAAAAATAAGCTAAAGTGGACATTTCTTGTTCTAACATAACCAAACTTCAAGAATCCCTTGCAAAAAATAAGGTAAAGTGGACATTCGCGCGCGCAAGACGAAATCCTTCCAAAACCTTAGTTTTCGTAGCGATTTTAACATAAAAACATCAAAAAACCAATGGTTTTTCAAAAAAAAAATGTCAAAATTTCATCCCGCGCGCTCTTGCGGATTCGTAGGAAACCCAACACTTTTTAAACATTTCTGTCAAACGGGCTTTTGCGAGCAACTTTTTCGAACTTCTGCAACAACGGTTGCGCACCTGCCAGGGCCATCATCCCTGTCAAATAATACCATGCGGGACACATTCGTTTTTTCTTCGCGCGCGCACGCCGTCGTCGTCGGCCGCGGGGCCCTGAATAGTAGCCACGGTCGTCCGCATGCCACGAAGTGAAGTGTCCGAACGTCATAGGGCGGGAAGCTGGGTGTGGGTGGTGGCGAAGAGTCGTTTGGAAATTTGGTAGAGCTTGAACCGGCCCCCCCACAAAGTGGGGGTATTGCCCGCCTCCTATGAAAACCCTGGCACTGGTGAGAACGGAGTGTCCCCACGTGCTAGTAATTGTTGTTGTTGTTGTTGTTGTTGTTGTTGTTGTTGTTGTTGTTGTTGTTGAACTCTCATTCTTGAAGAATAATTATTGTTGATCCCCCCCCACCGGTGCACATTGATTTTTTTCGATTGAAGTGCCACCCCCGGGGCTCGCACCTTGTTTTTTCTCAAGGAAAGTCTTCCTGCTCAAACTGTGCCCCTGCCCCCCGGGCTACAACAACAACGGCTCCCGCCTGAGACTTCCTCGATTTTTACTCAGGACCCCCGCTCCCGCCTGAGACTTCCGCGCAATTTACTCAGGAAAGGCGCTCCCGTCTGAGACTTCCTCGCAATGTAATCAAGACCCCCGCTCCCGCCTGAGACTTCCGTACAATTTACGTGGGAACGGCGTTCCCGCGTGAGACTTCTTCGAATTTTACTCAGGACCCCCGCTCCTGCCTGACATTTCCGCGCAATTGACTCAGGAACGGCGCTCCCGCCTGAGACTTCCTCGCAATTTAGTGAGGACCCCCGCTCCCGCCTGAGACTTCCGTGCAATTTGCTCAGGAACGGCGCTCCCGCTTGAGACTTCCTCGCAACTTAGTCAGGGCCCCCGCTTCCGCCTGAGATTTCCTCACAATGTACTCAGGACTGCGCTTTCGCGTGCGACGTCCTCACAAATTATTCTGGAATTGCGTTTCGGCGCTCAGGAACCACGCACGCGCCAAGGACGCCTTCACAACGTGGTATCTTCCCTCTTCCTTCGTCCTTCCCCCTCCCCTTCCTCCCACTCTCCCTCGTTCTTCCCCTCCTCCTCTTGCAGGGCCCGCGCCAATTCCAATGGCGGGCAGAGAGATGTACGCCCCCGAAGGATTGTCCGCCCGTTCCGGTTTGCCCGTACGTCTAAGCCCGCCGGCCCCAGCAAAGAGAAATAATCCCCCCGAAAGGGGTGTGATCGAAGACGAAGAGGGCGGGTATCGAGGGTGTAGGGTATACGTGTTGAATGACTCGCGGGCAAGTAAGAGCGTACAGCCTTAAAATGGTTGTTGTTGTTGTTGTTGTTGTTGTTGTTGTTGTTGTTGTTGTTGTTGGTGTTGTTGGTGTTGTTGGTGTTGTTGTTGTTGCTCTTGAAGGTTAAGTATTAAACAATGATTCTTGTTGCCACCCGCAAGCGCTTTGACGCTCTCGCCTCGGCGCCGGCTACCTTTTCATTGAAAATGAGGCTCACGCTCGAGCGGCTTGGGGGGGCGCCCAAACCGGCCCCCCAACAACAACAACGCTCCCGCTCGAGACTTCCTTTTTTTTTTTTTTACTCAGGGCCGGTGCTCTTGCTGGCCGCCGAAAGTCGCCGTCCCAACAAAACCAGCGCTGTCGCTCGAGATTTCCTCCCGTTTTACCTTGGACTGGCGCGCTACTCTTTCTCTCATCGGCGCCGCCCCCAGCAACAATAATGCTCCCGCTCGAGACTTCCTCCTTTTTTTACTCAAGGCGGTGCTCCTCCTCGCCGCCGAAAACCGCCGTCCCGACAAAACCAGCGCTCCCGCTCGAGACCCTCTCCCGTTTTACGTTGGATACTCTCTTTTGAATTGGCGCCGCTCCCAGCAAGAACAACGCTCCCGCTCGAGGCTTCCTTTTTTTGTTGTTCCTCAGGACGATGCTGTTCCTCGCCGCCGACAGCCCCCTTCCCGACAAAACCACGGCTCCCGCTCGAGACTTCTTCCCTTCTTACTCAAGGCGGTGTTCCTTCTCGCCGCCGACAACTGCCGTCCCAACAAAACCAGCGTTTCCGCTCGAAACTTCGTTCTGTTTAACGCTGGACTAGCGCCCTACTCTCTTCAGCATTGGCGCCGCTCCCAGCGACAACAGCGGCCCTGCTCGAGACTTCCTCCCTTTCTATTCAGGGCCAGGTCCTTGCCTCGCCGCCGACAGCCCCCATCCCCACCAAAGCTATACAGTCGCTCGATACTTCCTTGTGCTTTACCCTTCACTGGCGGTCACGCATCGGCGCAGCAAGGCGCGGGCATGCATTTTCGAGGCGGGACATGTTGAAATTCTTCGGAGGAGGTGTTTGCAATACCTCATTGGGCGGGTGATCTGGGAATGGGATAACGGACCCCGCTATAGAACAATAGTCCCCCATGATGGGGATGGTTATCATGATGGTCGCATGCTTGGGGTGAAAACATCGCGCATGAGGGTAACATGTTTGTTGTTGTTGCTGCTGCTGCTGTTGTTGTTGCTGTTGCTGCTGCTGTTGTTGGTTGTTGTTGTTGTTGCTGTTGTTGTTCCAGGCGCTTGCGACTTCTCTTACTGCAGAGACCCTCGCAATGGATGGATGGTTTGATAATATGTTCTACCAAACCGCTCTCCGCACCAAGTTCTGCCAAATGCTGTTGGATGGCCTAACCGCGCAGTGAAGCTGTAGGCCGCCATTCTGCATGGCATGCTGCGTCTGGAAGAAAAACAAAGCCTCCCTCCCGCTCTTTCGGCCCCCCTCTTGCTCCCCGCCCCCCGCCTCCGCTCCCCCTCCCTCCTACTCCCCTCGTACCTCCCTCCTCGAGGGGGGTGGCGGTGCGGCAAGGGAGGCTGCAGGGATGATGGAGCGCCAACATCGGCGGCTCGCCGAGGGGGAAATTGAGAGGGGCAGGCCTTCTCAAAAGGCGGTGGGGTTTCGCAGGCGGTCCAGAAGCTTCTCAGAGGGCCGGCGGCCTTCTGAGCCACTGAAGAGGCTCGCCTCGCCCCTCTCTGCCTTCCCCCTGGGCGCGCCACAACGGAGCTTTGGAACAGGTTTGAGCCGGCTTCCTGGTCGGGCCTCATTTTCTGGCGCTCCGGCCCGTCGTTCGCAGCACCCCAGACGGTGCTCATGTGCGTGCGTGTTTCGTGATTTGTGACTTGCCCCTGCTGGTGCTGTTCCTCATCCTCCTCGTCCTCCTCCAGCATCCTCGTCTCCCTCCTGCCCGTCCCCCTGCTCATCCAGCACATCCTTTATAACCGTACGCAGTTTCCCTTTTCTGATTGTGCAAAACACGGTCGGGTCCTTGGGTGAGTTCCAGGTCCGCTACAGTCAAAGACCGATCGTAAGGATGGGTAACCTTCCCAAGGGTGCCCTTGCGTCCGTGCCTCTTTGGTCCATCCTTGACTACTTTCGATGGCCCGCCGCGCTCGAAAAAGCTTCAGCACGGGCGTCCAGGGGGCTCGCATCCTGATCGCGCATCCTTACAATCAGTTCTGACTGTAGGACACCCGTCGGGGGGTACGGTCAAACGGAGGTATACGATGGAGGTCGGTTCGGGGAGGGTGCCCTAATGTTTTCCGTGCTTGTGGGATGTCCTCGCACACCTTGGGGGCGGTAGCCCGAGTTGTTCCGAGGGTTTTCTCCGGCGGAGGGCCTCATGGTCTCGAAGGATGCTCTTCTGCCCCAGCTCTGGCTGTAGAGTCTCGGGGGCGGCAATGAGGGGGGTGATGACTAGGGGGGGTGGATCTCATGGCGTGGGCAATGATATTTCCTCAGATCTCATGGCGCCTCTTCTCGTCTCGGTGCGTCCCTGGCCCCCCCCCCCCGCTGGGCCGCGCACATGCCGCCGGCCATGATTTGCGCCCCCCCCCCCTCGTGGACGCCCCCCTCTTGGCCGACCCCGGTAGAGAACATCAGCGCCCCTGAGCGCGCCGCCGACGGCAGGGGGCAGGGCCCCCCCTGGGCGAAGCAGGCGGAGGCCGGCGGCGCCGTCGTGGAGCCCGCGGTCGGCGCGGCGGCGCGCCGCGCCGCAGGCGCGGATGCCGCGGCTGAGGCCAGCCCGGGGGTGCGCGGGAGGAGAGCACGAGACGGGTCGGACGAACGGCTCGGCATTGCTCGGACGCGTGCAGTTTTTCTCGGCGACGGCCATCGAGGAGCACCCTGTGGATCGTCGCGGGGGAAAGGCACGCACGACATCGGAACGCTCACGAGGAATGGACGTCCGAGCGATGGCCAGGGGGTGCGCGGGAGGGTGCGCGGGAGGATCGGGTATAGCCAGGACCCCAGGTACGGGGACCTGGTTGGTGATTGAGCTCTGGAGCCCCCCAAGCTGGCCAGAATCACCAAACCAGGTCTGCCGCAGCAGGTGTATGCCCGAGGGGAGCGCATGAGCCGGGTCGGACGAACGGATGATGGGGGGGAAAGGGGGGAGGAGGGTACGAAGACGGGGGGGGTACGAAGACTGCTTTTTGCATTTGCTTTCGGCCCCGCCGCCGGGCGCTTTCCTCGATGTCTTGGCGCCTCTGGCGCCGCGGGGCGCCAGAGAAGCCAGTGGCGTGAGCTGGCTCGCCAACCCCCCTCTACTATCCCCATTCCCTGTCGTCCGACCCGAAGGAGGAGTGCATAGCAGGGAGGAGTTATGAGTCGATCCGTGCCTCCCAACCGGGGGCCGGAGTTGACGGGGTCGGAGGATCGCGCGATGCATCGGCGATGCGGCACGACTCGGAGCTCACCCCGACGTCGCCTGTGCATCGGCGAGGCGGTGCGATCCTCCGACCTCGTTCACTCTGGCCGCACTCGGGAGGCCTCCGAGGGTCAAGCGTCTCCGTTGCATCTTGAGGGTTCTCCGTCGAGCTCGCCTGCTCGACCGGATGTTGCGCTGGGCGTCGCACCTCGGGGTCGTCACTTAATTGCTTGTTCCTCCTCCACCTCTGCCTCCTCTTTCCCCTTTCCCTCCAACTCCCCTTCCCCTCCTTCTCGTCCTCGTCGTCGTCCTCCGGCTCACCCCATCTCCTCATTCCCTCCTCCTTCCTCTCCTCCCACTCCTCCCCCTCTTCCGCTCAAGGTCGACACGTCCACGCCGCAGAAGAAGCGCAACAGGACGGCCTGGAACGAATTCATGATTCGGCGCTGGGATGACGCCAAGGCGGAGCTCCTGGAGTCTAGCACGAAGGCCCCCCTCTGCAGGGGCAGGAACGGGACCGGGAGGAAGAGGAGGAGGAGGAGGAGGGCGAGGAGGGCGAGGAAGAGGGGGCAGAGGAGGGGGGGGCGAGGAATGGGAGGAGGATGAGGAGGAGGATAGAAGAGGAGCAGAATGGTGATGGGGAGGAGGAGGAGGAGGAGGAGGAGGAGGAGGAGGTGGAGGAGGAGAAGGAGGAGCGTTCAGGAGCGTTCAGCAGCGTTCAGAATGAGGACAACGGAAGTCCAGAAAAGGTCCCCACCAGGAGCCCAAACCGAAGTATCTCATGAAACGTTGGCCTTCGACCTCGCGGACCGCCTTCGGAGGGCCCGAGGGTTGAGGATACGTAATGTCAGCTTGTGGTTAACAAATCCGTGGGGGGGGGGCATGTTTAAGAAATTCGTTTCCCTGTTCGGGCGAATCGCGGGGTGGCGCCCGCCAGATTGAAAATCAACAGCGCCGGCGCCGGCGATTAGCGCCGACGGCCAGCCGCCAGCGAGAAGGCGACAGACAGCACAGATTGGGAGAGGGGAGGGGGGCGGGAGGCAATTGCGGCAGAAGTTGGGTCCGTGAGCCAGGGCGACACCTGTCCGAAATGAAGAACTGCTGTCGGCGCTCGCCCTCGCACTTTCCGTGCTCTTTTCTGTCGAACCGATGCGCTTCTTCTGCCCTGGCCGCAGCCAGGGGGGCGCCAGCTGCCTCGCGGGCTCGCCAGCAGCTCGCATTGCTGATTTTCCGAGCGCCCCCTGGCGCCGAAAGTGGCCATGCATCGAGGACTGGCCCCTCGGCGGGGCGACCGAAACCAACTGCGCGCAGCAGGTTTCGCAACCCCCTCTTTCCTTGCCCAGCCTTTCGTCCGACCCGAGCAAGGCGGGCAGTCCTCCTCCCCCCCTCTGCCGTGGTCCCTGTAGTCGACGACGACGATGACGACGGCGATGACGACGAAGACGAGGACGAAGACGAGGACGAGGACGAGGACGAGGACGATGACGAGGAGGACGAGGACGAGGACGAGGGCTACCCACGGCGGACGGCAGACGGCGACAGCGGCGACGGTGACGACGCGCTGCGGATGCCCTATGGGGGGGGGGCTGCGAAGGCCTGCGGTAGTCGACGACGCGACGACGACGACGACCGACGACCGACGACGACGACGACGACACTGACGACGACGACGACGACGACGACGACGACACCGACGACGACGACGACGACACCGACGACGACGACGACGACGACGACGACGACGACGGCGCGGCGGCTGCGACGACGACGACGACGACGACGGCGACGATGATGGCGACGACGACGACTTGACGACGACGACGACGCACTGCGGATGCCCTATGGGTGGTGGGGTGGTGGTGCTGCGAAGGCCCGCTGTGTTCGACGACGACGACGATGACGACGTCGAGGACGACGAGGGCGACGAAGAAGACGACGACGTCGAGGACGACGAGGGCGGCGACGACGACGCCTGACTGAAAGGGGGGAAGAATTCGCCTCGGATGTGTACGACCCCTATTACAGCTTCTTTTCGAATAGCAATCGTTTTGAGGCTGCCATGCAGGCGGCGCTCGCGACGACCCCCTGGCGCGCGTGATTTAATAAACTGTTTCGCGCCCCGCGGGGTCTATTCATCAGCCCCGAGGGGGGGTGTGGTGGGGGCAGTCACCTGTTAATCGCAATGTGACGCTACCCGAATTAATCCTCGCAAGATACTGGCGCCCTTTGGGCGTGGGTTCGCAGGCTTTGGGGAAATGGCGGGGGTCGGCGGTGCAACTTTTGCCGCAGGTGCTACAAACGTAAGGGTGTAGGTGCGCCAGCTGCAACGTGTGAGACGGGCGAATCGTTTTACCGCCAACGTGCTGGGGTCCACAGAGGGGGGCGGACCTCCCCCGCAGCCCATCCCACATATCAGCAGTGTTGAGTCCTGCACCAGCACGACCCCAACTATGTTCAGACAGCTGCAGAGTTTTCGCCACCGCAGGAAGAGGAGCCTGGGATTCCACTTTCGGGCGCTCCGAGGTCCACGGGTCGGCTTGGATAGTTGTTTCCAATCGCTCTCTTCGCGCGCATTCGGACCAGGGAACTCTCAACGTCCCTCCTGTCTGTAGGATGGGTCCGTCACAACAAAACTGCTCCAGGCGATTACGGCCATGGCCGACCCGACGGCGTCCGCGCACTCGTTACTGAATGCCGAAAAATAAGAAGCTTTGTCGTGGAGCGCCCCCTCCTCAATTTGGGAGGGGGCCCATACAATCAAGACAGGGAAGCGCGCCACTGGGTGCCACCGTAATTGTAAAAACGGGTCGCGTGCTAACGGGATTCCCCTTGTGTTCTTTTCAAGAGGGAGGGCTGTTTTCGGACCCCCCCTTACCAAAGGGGGGGGATCGGACCCCCCCATGGTGATAATGATGATGATGGTGATGAGGATGATGATGATGATGATGATGATGATGATGATGATGATGATGATGATGATGATGACGATGATGATGATGATGATGATGGTGGTGCCGATGATAATGCCGATGATGATGCTGATGATGAAGTTTATGTTGCTGATGATGACTCTGGTTGTGATGGTGATGGTGGTGATGAGGAAGCTGATGATGCTGATGATGCTGATGATGATGATGGCGGTGATGGTGCCTCAGTTTGATGCTGATGATGATGTTGATGATGCTGATGATGATGATGACGACGGTGATGATGCTGCTGACGGTGATGATGCGGACGATGATGCGGATGATGACGGTGATGATGATGGAATTGATGATGATGATGATGCTGCTGAGGATGATGATGATGGTGACGATGTTGCTGTTGATGGTAACCATGGCGATGATGGTGATGTTGATGATGATAATGATATAACTGGTGATTATGACGATGTTGATGCTGATGATGATGATGCTGCTGCTTGTGATGATGATGATGATGATGATCATGATGATCATGATGATCATGATGATGATGATGATGATGATGGTGATGATGATGCTGATTATGATGATGATGATGATGATGATGATGATGATGATGATGATGATGATGATGATGATGATGATGACGGTGGTGATGATGATGGTGGTGGTGGCGATGGTGTTGGTGCTGGTGATGTTGGTGATGGTGATGGTGCTGGTGTTGGTGTTGATGCTGGTGGTGAAGATGATGACACTAATTTCGGTGTTGACTGTGCTGATGGCGATGATGGTGATGATGACGATGAGAATGACGATGCCAATGACAATGATGATGATGATGATGATGATGATGATCATGATGATGATGATGTTAATGATGTTGTTGATGATGATGATGATGATGATGATGATGATGATGATGATGGTGGTGGTGGTGATGATGCTGCTGGCGATATTTCTGATGGTGATGATGAAGATGTTGATGGTGATGATGACGATGCTGATCGTGGTGGTGACGATTATGATGACGGTGATGCTGATGATGATGATGATGATGATGATGATGATGATGATGATGATGATGATGATGATGATGATGATGATGATGATGATGCTGTTGCTGCTTCTGCTCCTGCTGAGGAGTAGGCGGAGGAGGTAGGAGGGTGAGGAGGAGGAGGAGGAGGAAGAAGAGGAGGAGGAGGAGGAGGAGGAGGAGGAGGAGGAGGAGGGGGAAGATGAGGAGGAAAAGGAGGAGGAGGAGGACGACGACGACTAGAAAGGAGGAGGAGGAGGAGGAGGAGGAGGAGAGGATGCGGAGGAGGAGGAGGAGGAACAGGAGGAGGAGGAGGAGGAGGAGGAGGAGGAGGAGGACGAGTGAGGAGGAGGAGGAGGCTGAGGAGGAGGAGGAGGAGGAGGAAAAGGAGGAGGAGGAGGAGGAGCAGGATCGGGGGCGTAAATGAAGGTGATGATGACAAGTGTATTGACGACGGTGAGGTGGCGCGAGGAGTGAACTCGCCAACGAGGAGGTCCTATACAGCGACAGCGACATCGACGAGACAACGAGGGGACAACGACGGGTATACAGTGAGGGGGACGGCGAAGGGGGGGGAGGATGAGGAGCAGGAGGAGGGAGGTAGATGAGGAGGAGGAGCAAGAGCAGGGAGATGTAGGAGGAGGAGGAGGAGAAGAAGGAGAAGGAGGAGGAGCAGGAGGAGGAGGAGGAGGAGGATGAGGGAGGTAGAGGAGGAGGAGGGAGGTAGAGGAGGAGGAGGAGGAAGAGGAGGAGGAGGAGGAGGAGGAGGAGGAGGAGGAAGAAGAGGACGGATGAGAGAGGCGGAGAGGAGGATGAATGAAGGTGAGAAGCAGGTGGTGGAGGCGGAGGGGGAGGAGTGGGGGAAACATGAGGGAGGATTGGGGGGAACAGGGGAGGAACTGGTGGTGCAGAGTGGGAGTGATGGGTTGGGGGAGAGGGGGGGCGAGGAGGCGGAGGAGAAGGATAAGGAGGAGAGCGAGGACGAGGACGAGGAGGGCGAGGTCGAGTGCGAGGACCAGGACGAGGAGACCGAGAGCGAGGAATCGAAGCGAGGGCCCCCCTCAAGGTGACCCCGGCCAGCGTTGCCAGGCTGCTGGGGCAGCGGTGGGCGGACCTGAAGCGGAGCGACTCCCCCGAGGCCAAGGCTCCGGGCCTCCCAAATGGGGTCCGAGTAGATGTCAACGGCACCGTAACGGGTACTTACTCACGGGTGCTCTGAATTTTAGCCGAAGGTTGCCGCTTTGGGGCCTTTTCTTGCACTGCAGCTCTGCCCACATCGGGAAGGGTTGGGTTCGCTGGGTCAGTGGCCAAAGTACCCGTTAGTGGAGTCCCCGTTTGAGGGGCGCTGAAGATGGGGGTCGGCTGATCGCGCCGCATTGCCGATGAATCGGCGATGCGGGCCCACGTGGAGCCAGATCTCCTCCGCGCTGGCCGCGCTGGAGCATCGCCCACGTCGCCGCTGCATCGCCGACGTCGCCGACGACGCGGCGCGAGTCTCCGACCCCGTCTGCTCAGGCCCCGACTGGGAGACCTTCATCAAGGGAGGAAAATCCACCCTGACCAGACAATTGGCGTTTACTAAACGGCCCTGGGCGTTTCCTAAACAGCCCTGCCCTGTTCGATTCCCTCTGTGGGCGCGTTTACTGAACGATTTCGCGTGTCTGGGTGGTTATTATCGGGGTGGATTTTTTGACTTCTATTGCAGAGGAGGAGGTCGAGCGGATGAGGCAGCTCGCCAGGGACGGCGCCGATCCGCACGAGCCGCTGGCGCCCGGCTGAGCTGCACGAACGGGCGATGGCAGGCTCGTGGCGCCTCGGCGCTGCGGCAGCACAGGCGCGGGCGCTCAAGATCTCCAGGCCTCCAGCGTCTGTAACTAGGAGGAGGAGGAGGAGGAGGAGGAGGAGGAGGAGGAGGAGGAGGAGGAGGAGGAGGAGGAGAGGAGGAGGAGGAGGGGGGGGGAGGAGGAGGAGGAGGGGAGGAGGAGGAGGAGGAGGAGGAGGAGGAGGAGGAGGAGGAGGAGGAGGAGGAGGAGGAGGAGGGGGGGGGAGGAGGACGAAGAGGAGGATGATGATGAGGAGGAGGAGGAGGTCGCCCGAGGGCCCGAGGGGGCGCGAAGATGATCGCGTTTCGCGCGTCGCGGTCTGGGCTTGAGGGCTGCCTTTCTCCAGTGGGCGGCGCTTGGGCGTGTCAAAGTGACCGCGCGTCGCGCATCGGGAGGGGGGACGGTGCGCGACGTTGGATGGCCTGGTTCAGGATCGCCCAGCAATTCTATTCAAGGGCGCCGGGACCGTCAGGGGACGGCAGGGACGGAACGCTTGCCTTTGGGAATGGGTCGAGGGGCCAGGGGGGGCCCACGTCGCGAAGCGATTGGGTCGTCGAGTGTTTCGATTGTGCATTTCGGCGCCTCGACAGCTTTCGGACACCCCGAAAGCAGAGGTTGCTCAGGATCTGATTTGACATGGCCAGTGTGGACCCCAATCAAGGTTTTTTTCGCAGTATATGGGGTGCAGTCTGTGTGAAGCAATGCCTGTTGTGGGACATCGGTGGTGCAATTCATGTTGTGCAATCTACGCTGTGCTATCTACGTGGTGCAATATACGCGCTGCAAAAGATTGGTGGTGCAATAGATGCTGTGCAATCTATGCGGTGCAATATATGCTGTGCTATCTACGTGGTACAATATGTGTGGTGCAATCTATGTAGTGGAACTGTTTTCTGCTCGCAGCGAGTTGTCCACTCCACTGCTCGCGCAAACATCCCACCCACCCACCCGCAACTTGGTTTGTAAAATCTCTTAAGATCGTGACGGTGGGTACCACATGGCACTTGGCAACGACAGCGACGCCGACGACGACAGCGACAACGACGACGACGACGCCGCCGACAACGACTACGACGACACCGACGACGCCTCCAACGACTTCGACGACGCCGACAACGACAACGACGACGACACCGACGACGACGACGCCGACGCCGACGACGACGACGACGATGACAACGACGACGACGATGACGACGCCGACGACGACGACAACGACGACACCGACGACGACGACGACGTCAACGACGCCGACGACGACGACGACGGCGACAACGGCGACAACGACGACAACGACGAGGGAGGAGGGAGGACGACGACGACGCGAACGACGAAGAAGGAGGAAGGACGGCGACGCCGACGACGACAACGACGAGGGAGGAGGGAGACGACGACGACGACAACGACGACGACGACGGCGACGAAATAGGAGGGACGACGACGAGACGCCGACGACGGACGACGACGACGACGAGGGAGGAGGAGGAAGGACGACCACGGCGACAACGACGACGGAAACGACCACGACGCCAAAGAGGACGACGACGACGAACACGAGGAAAGACAGAGGACGACGTAGGCGACGACGACGACGACGACGCGGGAGGAGGGAGGACGGCGACGACGACGAGGGCGACCACGCAAGAGCGCGCGCGCACGCTTTTGTTGAACATCCGTGTTGCGAAACCTTGTGTTTTTGTAGGTTGTTTGGGCACACGATGTTGAAATCCTTCCGAAGCCGATGGGTTTTGAAGGATTTCGGCATACGCGCGCGACGACGCGCGCGTCTGCACTTCGTCCCACTTTTGTTGCAGAAGATTCTCGCGACGGCACACGCGCAAGGGCGTTCGACAGATTTCGACATGCGCGCGCGCGAAGCCCGTTTGGTAGCATTTTGTGAAAATCTTGAAAATCCTACGGTTTTCTTAAGATTTCGCAAGAGCTCGCGCGTAAGCTTTTTTCATAGCAAATCAGTGTTGCGAAACCGTGTGTTTTTGTAGGTTTGTTGGAAACTCGATTGCGAGATCCTGCCGACACCGAAGGTTTTTGGAGGATTTCGGCATGCGCGCGCGACGGCGCGCGCGTGTGCACTTCGTTTTTTTCCAAGGGGTTCGCGAACAAGTCTTATGTTAGAGCAAAACGTGTCCCCGCGTATCGTTTTTTTGGCAAGGGAATTTCAGGGGACCGACACCGGTTCCCTTGGGATAGTGTAAATTCATATTTAGGATGGACATGTGGTCATAATCATATATGATTTACATACCCGAAAGGGGGGCCGATAACGCCGGGGGGGGGACGGGGGATAGAGTCTATTCTCCTTGTAGAAAAGAGAATATACGTTGCGCAAAGGCGGCGGCGGGGTGGCGACGGCAATCAGGCCATCGTTTGTCACAAGGAGACCTCAGGGGGGGCGATACCGGTTCCCCTGGGACATTGTAAATTCATATTTCGGATGGACATGTGGTCATAATCATCTACGATTTACATACCCGAAAGGGGGGCGGATAACGCCGGGGGGTCGAGTCTATTCTCTTTTAATAACAGATAATCTATGTGGTGTAGTGTATTCAGTGCAACATGTGCTGTGCAATCTATGTTGCGCAACCCATATTATGCAATCTATTTGGTGTAATATTTGTTTTGTGCAATCTACGTGGTGCAATTTATTTGGTTCAATATATGTGGTGCAGTCGATGTGATGCAATATATGTGGTGCAGTTCACTTGACGAACTTGAAGTTGTCAACTCCACTACTCGCGCAATCATCCCACCCACCCACCCGCAACTTGGTTTGCAAAATCCATGGGGCTCAAGAGCGCCCCAAGAAGGCCGGAAAAGCAGGAAGACCGACGACGACGACGACGACGGCGGCGACGACGACGACGCCGACGTCGACCACGACGAAGACGACGACGACGCCGACGACGACGACGACGACGACGAAGACGACGACACCGTCGCCAACGAAGACGGCGACGAGGGAGGAGGGAGGACGACGACGGCGACAACGACGACAATGACGAGGGAGGAGGGAGGACGGCGACGACGCGAACGACGAAGAGTGAGGAAGGACGGCGACGCCGACGACGACAACGACGAGGGAGGAGGGAATACGACGACGATGACAACGACGACGACGACGACGACGGCGACGAAATAGGAGGGACGACGGCGAGACGCCGACGACGGACGACGGACGACGACGAGGGAGGAGGAGGAAAGACGACCACGGCGACAACGATGACAGAAACGACCACGACGCCATAGAGGACGACGACGACGAACACGAGGAAAGACAGGACGACGTAGGCGACGACGACGACGACGCGGGAGGAGGGAGGACGGCGACGACGACGACGCAAAAACGCGCGCGCACGCTTTTGTTGAAAATCCGTGTTGCGAAACCGTGTGTTTATGTAGGTTTTTTGGACACGATTTTGGAATCCTTCTGAAACCGATGGGTTTTGAAGGATTTCGGCATACGCGCGCGACGACGCGCGCGTCTGCACTTCGTTTCATTTTGCAGAGGATTCTCGCGACGGCACACCCGCAGGGGCGTTCGACAGATTTCGACATGCGCGCGCGCGAAGCCCGTTTGGTAGCATTTTGTGAAAATCTTGAAAAAAAAAAAAAAACATGGTTTACCTAAGATTTCGCAAGAGCTCGCGCGTAAGCTTTTTTATAGCAAATCAGTGTTGCGAAACCGTGTGTTTTTGTATGTTTGTTGGAAACTCGATTGCGAATCCCTGCCGACACCGAAGGTTTTTGGAGGATTTCGGCATGCGCGCGCGACGGCGCGCGCGTGTGCACTTCGTTTTTTTTCCAAGGGGTTCGCGAACAAGTCTTATGTTAGAGCAAAACGTGTCCCCGCGTATCGTTTTTTGGCAAGGGAATTTCAGGGGACCGATACCGGTTCCCTTGGGATAGTGTAAATTCATATTTAGGATGGACATGTGGTCATAATCATATATGATTTACATACCCGAAAGGGGGGCCGATAACGCCGGGGGGGGGACGGGGGATAGAGTCTATTCTCCTTGTAGAAAAGAGAATATACGTTGCGCAAAGGCGGCGGCGGGGTGGCGACGGCAATCAGGCCAAGACGACGGGCGGCGACGAGGCGGCGACGGGGCGGCGACGCGGCGGCGACGGCGAGCACAGAGCCGCCAGACCGACAGTCAGGCCCAGACGACGGGCGGCGACGAGGCGGCGACGGGGCGGCGACGGCGAGCACGGTGCTGCCAGATGGACATTCAGGGCCAGGTCCTCAGGAGAGGTGTAAGAACGCCTAAGTGCAAGCGCTGTCCGGGGAATTGTCCAGGTTGGAGAGGCGCCTTTCCAGGGCAGCGGGGCGAGTGCGTGAGCCTAGGTGACCTAGGACGGCCTTCGGAGACGCCCCAAGGCGGAGACTGTTCGGGATCGAAGGAGCTCACGAGGTGACACGAAACTGGGGCCAACGCCGTCGTGGCAGGAACTCGCTTTGCACCGTGCCCTGTTCAATCTCGTCCGAGCGCGCCTCTGCAGGTGGCCGCCTGTGTCGCCCAACGGCCGCTCCAGAGTTTCACAGGCAGGCCACTCCAGCGATGCCAGAGCAGATGGGGTCGGGGGACCGCGCCGCATCGCCTAATGCATCGCCGGTGCGGCCCGATTTGGAGGCCGATCTTCTCCGTCCCGGCGTTGTTGACGAGTGGGTGCGTTGCCGACGCGGGGCGGTCCTCCGACGCCGTCTGCTCTGGCCCGTCTTGGGCGGCCGCCCCTCACCGTTGCGACGGGTCGGGGGTTGTTGGCAACTCTGCAGCAGCGCGCCTGTCAGAGTTCGGTTGGCCGACTTGCTCGGCGGGTGCCGATCGGACGCGCAACGCTGCCGCCGGGCCGAGAGCTCTCCGCGTCTGCTTGCCACAGGAAGGAGCGGATGATTTTGAGGATTCCAGAGGCCCCTTGCAGGGTTCTTGCAGGGTCCAAGCGGGGTTCCCCGCGACCCAACATGTACAACCCTTCCACGGAATTGAGGCATAATTTTAGTATCATCGAGCTTGAATTCCGCCGTGTGGCTGGGTTGAAAGGACCATGGGAGAAGGAGGGAGAAGAGGAGGAGGAGAAGGAGGAGGAGGAGGACGCGGAGGAGGTGTTTCAATATGGACCCCATGCTATCGTGAACCTGCTGACACTTGGCTCAAGTGCTTATGACCGCCTCATGGCGGTGCAGGACGCACACTCGCGAAGTCGCGTTGTCCCCTTTCTGCGAAACAGAGTCCAATTCTCGTTGCCACCGCTCTGTTAAATTCGCATGGTTGCGAAGCGAGGTTATGGCGAACATACCAGGAACTGGAATCCACACGACGAGACAGGAACGGCATATTGAATGCAGCCTGGCCAATTTCGGAGTCAAGTGTATGACGGCTAACCAGCAGGGCGACTATGAGTTCGACAAAGCTGCACTACAGGCCAATCGTGGCGCAGCGGCAGCCCATCAGCCCGTCCCAAAACAGCACATTTTGCAACGCACACTGACGGTCGTGATTTTCGGGCGTATCTCTTCTTGCTCTCTCCTCCTCCTCCGCCCACCTACCTATTTTCTGTTCTACATTATTTCGGGGGCAGTGTGAGGAGGACGAGGCGGAGCAGGAGGTCTCTGGACCCTTTCGGGGTCCTCGTGGTGCCTCTTGGGGCACCCTTGGGGCTCTTTGAGGGGGGGGGGGGGGCTTGGTGCCCTCTTGGGGCTCTTTGGGGGTCTGGGAGGTCTTTTTGGGGCCATCTTGGAGGCCACGGCCCAATAAAAAGAGCGCGGCGTCAATTACGCCCCCCCCCCCCAAACCCCCTCTTCGGAAACCGAGAAGTCGCCTCTTGGGGCCCTTTTGGGCCACTCTTGGGGCGCTCTTGGGCCAGTCTTGGGCCTCTCTGGGGCCTGTCGTGGGGCTTTCCTGGGCCATTTTGTGGTCACCTTGCAGCCTCGGGAGCCCATTGAAAGCGAAAAGGCGAAAAGGGCAACCCACCTTGATTTTCCTGGGGTCTTTGGGGGGATTTGGGCCTCTCGGGGGCGTCCTTGGGAGACTCTGTGGCCACTTGGGTCCGTCTTGGGGCGGTCTCGGGGCCTCGCGTAGGCCTGTTAGGAGCTATCTTGAATCATCGAGGGCTCTCTTGCGCGATCTTGGGGGTCATCTTGAGCTCTCTTTGGCTATCTTGGCGCCATCTTATGCCAAAACAGACGCTCCAACCGCCCGCGCCCCCCCCCTCCAGGCCCAGGGGGAGGGGGAGGGGGAGGGGCAAGCTAGGTGCGCTCGCGTCATATCTGACATCCTACCCCTCCCTCCCATCCCTTCCCATGGCGCAGATCCCCTCTCTACTCGCTCAGTCGGATGTCGAGCAGGGCAATGATGGGTACGCGACGCATTGTAGAGCACGGCATGGCATGGCGTAGAAGAGCACCGCAAAGCGTAGCATCAACCTAGCATTGCAGTGCATGCCGTGGCATGGCACGGGAAATGACGCCAGCGCTGCAGCGGGAGCAGGAGTCGAAACGAGCGGAAGTGCGGAAATGAGGCCAGCGCTGCAGCGGGAGCACGATTCGGAACGAGTTGAAGCACGGAAATGAGGCCAGCGCTGCAGCGGGAGCACGATTCGGAACGAGCGGGGCCCGAAAATGAGGCCGGCGCCTCAGCGAGAGCAGCATTTTGAAAAAAAATGCACGCCAAAACCCAACTCCGGGGAAACCTGTGTGTCAAAAAACAGTACGCGGGGGGGGGGTCGGACACTCCCAGGCCGTCATCAGGGGAAGAGGGAGAGTAGTATTCGTATTGAGTAATTGTAGAACCCTTCCCAGAAGGGAAAGAAGGGGGCGGAACAGAACGGGCTCTCTCAACCACCTCCGCTCAGGGGGTTGGTGAGATTACTTGCACGAGCAAGAGCGCACGGGCATCCAGGAACTATCCAGTGATCGTGAGATGTCGGCGGCGAGAATGTTTGGCAAGTTTATTGCGGCATTGCTGAGCATTATCAAGCGGGAGAGCAGGCATGGGGCGGAAACGGCAATCGTAAGGTCGAGAATCGCTGAGATGTAATATGATTACGGGAGTCATCGGCGCGAATGCCAGATTCGCCCAAATGACAGACATATTTGGGTCAAGTAAGCATATTCGATGCAAAGCTAATTCCAATGGGAACTAGAACGCACTCCGAGAACGGAATGGGCGATGATTCGACGCGTTGGCTCAAGCAGACAAATCAAATCGCGAGGCCCCTTAAAACGCACGCCTCGAAGTTGGAGACTCTGGGTGGAAACGCCCCCGACTCCAGTGAGAAAGGGGGCGATACAGTGGACGCCGAGTGGGCGCATGGCGACCGCGGAACATATCCGGGCCAGCCGCCTTGGAACACAGAGGGAGAGAGAAATAAAGCAAGAAAGCAAGAAATACACACATGTATACATACACAGTAAAAAAGAAGAAGCAAAAGCAACGGGCGGAAGAAGACACCCTGGATGAAGACGAGATCGCCAAAGTGGATGAAGTTCCGCGGCGCGCATTCACGGAAAAACTGGGGAACGCCGGGGGCCGGGGCAAGTTGCGTAGCCCATCGGAAGGAGAAGGACTGATCGCCTACATGAAGATATATAAGCGATACGCAGCGGTGGCTTGGGCGACCTGTCGGCAAATATGGGGTCAGCAATGAGTCCAGAGAGCCCAAGACGGTTAGCGACGCGTCAGTTCGATTCGAGCTGCGGGATGCACTAGTGGGGAAGCTGGACAAATATGGCAAGTCCCATGACCTTCGTATACCTTTTTCCAATAACGGCGCTCAGAATCTGCATGGTCCACGCTGAAGAGTGGTTCGACGACTGGCAGCAGGGCTGCTGCGAGAGCCCCGATTAACTCGCGACGGGGGCCGACGAGAAGCCCATGTAAGTTGCGACGATTGGGCTCGCAAGAAACGGTTGGACGCCGATGCAAGAAAAGCAGCGATGCCATGGGCGCGCGAAAAGGAAGCAGGGAAGAAGATCGGGACGAGCTGGCCGCCTTCGCGGGAGGCGACCAAGGACATTTTGCTGAGAACCGCAAGTGGTGGCCGGCAGAAGACGGCGGATGCCGCCGTTGGAACGAGAGCCGGAGTTGGTAAGACGGAGATGCGAGCGCCGTCGACAAGGGGCAGAGCAGAGGAGACACGGCATGATGCGCTCGCGGCAGGCCAGGCCACGTGGCCCAGGTTTGCAAAGCCACGGGCAAAGGCAAAAGTGTTGCCAAGGACAAGGGGTGTCAAAGTGGGTCAAGAGGGCGCTCCACAGGGAACTGCGGGGGATGCACAGGGTCAGGCAACTCATGGCAGGCAAATACCACCATGGCGGCCGCAAACGTGCTGTGCAGTGACAACAATCGCAGCGATCGTGGGGCCATTCAAACAGGCGCCGCGGCGGCGCGGTCTCTAATTCGGGAGCTGGCGCAGGACTTCGCCATTGTTGATGGCCTGCGGCTGTTCTGCAATGGTTTCGATGCCATCGTCAGGGCGCCTCGCGCGTGCGAGGCCGAAATGTTGGGCTTGCCCGCGCCAACCTGACACGGCGCGAAGCGGATCGTAGACAGGCGAGGGAGGATTCCTTCAGGCCGATGTATAACCGGAGGGCCGACAATTGCGTTCGCTGGCGCCCCCACAATGAAGCCCTCCGCCTGGATGGGAAAATCTTCCTGCAGGCGCAGACCCCTTCGGGTGATTGTCACCTATGGGCCATTAGCCAGCCTTTGTTGGTCAGCCATCGCTCGGGGACCGTGCTCGCGCAGAAGTTGGAGGATCGTAACGCGAGGTGGGTTACACCTCATAACGCACCCCGATATCGCCTGATGGGAAGCTCTGGAGAGGTTTAACGGGATTAACTATCAATCCGCCTGCAAGAATACCTCGAGCGACGGCGATAGCGAGATGGGGGCCTGGGGTGACAGCGACGAGGAATACGGCGCCTGGAGCGATAACCGGTCGCGGAGCCTGACGCACGCACACTTGGAAGTGTAACCGTGAGGAGGAGTTCACGCGCATGGACGCAGGCGAAGACAACGAGCAGGGTAAGAGGCCAAGGTCGACGCCCATACGTTTCTCCTGCCTCCTCACTCTGTATAGTTTGTCGCGTCCTAACCGATGCAGTTTCGAACGAATGCATGTGCCAGAGATGGTGTGGCAAATCAAGCTCGTGCGGAGATCCCGCCATACTTCCAGCCACCTTCTTGCATCGCTCTGTCATTTACGTCATGCTTGACATTCAATCCCGTCCCTGCTGCCCACGCGTTGTTTTTTGGACGAGACGCCAACTCACGTCAGCTAGCCAGCTGATTGGCCTGTTTTGCACATGTTTCAGCTTGAACGCTGCCCATTCGCTTTAACCATTTGCAGACATGCGAATTTATATAATCGCTGCACTCACTCCGCCGGCCCGTATGGTAACATCGCAGGCGTCGGCCTGCGCGCTCGTGGCCTCTTGGGGACTCTAGGGGGCCGTTTGTGCGTCCTTGGGTTTTTTGTGGGGCCTCTTTTGGGGGCTTCTTGGCTTCTTAGGGGTTTCGTCGGGGCTTGTTGTCAGTCTTGGAGGTGGCCCTTGGGGCGGAAATATCGACATGCCATTTCGGGTTCCCCCTCTTGGGCCCCTCTCGGACCTGTCTTGGGCCGTCTTGGGCGCCTCTTGGGCCATCTTGTTGCC